TTCTTTCCATGAGCATTCTTTCCTGCCATCCTGGTCCCAGAGCCATGATACCCCCCAAAAAACAGTCTATTAATTATAATACTGTTGGCCATTGGCTTGGGCTTCATATTGGCTATGTCTTAATTATTAACCCATTTCTATCAACCTATGTATTGCTACAAGGCTGTGGCTTACCCAGTAATGGCGGGCATGTTGTTACTCCTTCGGAGTCCTACATGTTGACTGCTCTCTTCCCGAGATCAAGTGACGACTCCTCTCTGCCTACATTTCCCAGAATCCTCCTTGTCTCCTAGTCCCACCTATCACCCTGCCTCATTGGCCACAGTGCTTTATTCATCAACCGATAAGAGAAACATATGAGCACTCAGGGGGTACATGCCTCTTCATATGTACAGAAGACATCTCCATCACTTGCTCCCCAATGGTCATTTTCTGACAATTGCTACCTGTATGTCCCTTTCTCCACCACAGATCTCTTCAACTGGAAGAACCAGAACTTCCCTTTCAGCACCAGCCTGATTCCTTGGTTTCTTTAATCGATTTTATCCTTTTCAATCCCCACATGAGACAACTGTTGGCAGATTCTCCATACCCTGTTTACTATTGAAGAAAGCAACTGGGGTACTCCCTGGAATAGCTTCAGTGGCTGACAACCGGAGGGCAGAGGTCACACCCTGCCAAAAAGGAGACCTCATAGGACTACTACATAGAGAGAGGCTGGTGGTCACTCAGTGAATAGTACCAGGTTCTGTTAGAAGGGATGAAATAGTCAGTCTAGAAGCCCACTAACCTATCTAAGGTAGCAGATGTGAAACCCGGCCCAGGTGAGTCACCTCCCAGATGTCTATTGGCTATTCACTCCTGCAGACCCAGAGGACCCGGCAAATCTCAAGGTGATTAATCTTTCTTACTCGGCCAGCCCCTGAAATATGTAGAAAGATACAAAAGATGGATGGGTTTTCAAGAAAGAACAGGTCAGAACTACTAGAAATATCCCTGAAGGTGTTCGACAACATTGACAGCAAAGAAGGTCTTTTGATAAAGGAGATGGGGAATGTCACTGTGGCTGCACAACCAGCCCTTCCAACTCTTCCCGTGCACACCATGATAAAAAGAGGAGACCTTACAAAAGGACCAGTGTGCCCATTGCAAAGAAACGGTCATTGGAAAAATGAATGTCCATACAGGAAACAGGTAGGTTCCCCCAAACCCAAGCCAATCCTAGCTGTGGGGGATTAACAAGGCCGAGGCTCCTTCCAACCAGGGCCCCTTTCACCATAGGGGGCCAACCTTTGTAAAATTTCTGGTGGACACAGGGGCTCCTAGGACCCCTCACCAACCAAACCATGGAAGTACAGGGGACAATTTATATCAAAGGATATAAATGTACCACTAACTGGACTGTTAACCTAGGGCAAGGAACTGAGACTCATTCTTTTATTATTATTCTCAAATGTCCCTACCCTTTACAGAACCTCTCCAACAAGTTCCAGGCAGCAATCTCCTTCTCAGGAGACTCTCTCAGGTTGCAACTGGGAGGCCCCACCAAGGCTTTAACTATAACCTGCCCAATAGTCGAGGAATATCTGCTCCTCAAAAATCAACCCATTCCCTGGAAGGGGAATGTAAAAAGTTTCTGATGCAGGAAATCCCCACAGTTTGGGGAGAGGACCATCCTCCTAGCTTGGCAAAACACATGCCACCCATCATAGTACAAAAACATCTGAGGCAATGCCCAATGGAGTCGAGCAGAACCCATCAGTTCAGAGGCCAGGGAAGGGATTGAGATTCACATCAGGCACCTCCTTGAAGCAGGCATACTTGTTCATTGTCAGTCAGCCTGAAACACTTCCTTGCTGCCTGTCCAAAAGCCTGGCACTCAGACTACGGACTAGTAGTACAAGACTGGGGAAGTGAGCAAGAGAGTAGGATCCATTTACCAACTGTTCCAAATCCCTATACCTTTCTTAGTTTACTACCACCAGAGCATAACGTTTACACTGTACTGGACTTAAAGGATGCATTCTTCCCCATCCCTCTGTCGACATTAAGTCAGACATCTTCACATTTGAATGGACTGACCCTGAACTGGGGGTATCAGGACAACTAATCTGGAGCAGACTGCCTCAAGGGTTCAAAAACTCTCCCACCATCCTCGATGAAGCACTCAACTAGAAATTAAGTCTCTTCCGAAGTAAGTACCCTGAGGTAACCATGCTTCAATATGTAGATGCTTTATTATTGGCCACTAAAGATGAGGAAGACGGCTTGAGAGCCACTAGAGGCCTTCTGGAAACTCTAGCCCAGTTAGGCTATAGTTCCTGAAATGAAAGCCCAAATTTGCTCACTCCAGGTTACTTACTTGGGATATGAGATGGGAGAATGGAAAAGACTATCGTCCCAGGACTGCATAGCAGCCATACTGCAAATCCCAACTCCAACAGTTCCCAATTTCTGGGAACTGTTGGATACTGCCGTCTTTGAATACCTGGGTTTGCTGAAATTGCCAAACCCTTGTATTCTGCTACATCTGGGGCAACACCCTTTGGGATGGACTGAGGAACAGGAACAGGCCTTTGAGAACTTAAGAGAGACCCTGATAAAGACCTCCGTATTGACTTTCACTGTTATCTCCAAGCCCTTTCATCTTAAGGTCCATGACAGATAGGGCATTGCCAAGGGAGTCCTGACTCAGTGCTGGGTCCCTGGAAAAGATCGATAGCTTACATCTCAAAAAGACTGGATCCTGTAGTCTCTAGATGTCCCCTTGTTTAAAAGCCAAGATTCTAACAGTAATAACTCTACACTTTCGGATACAGCAGCAAGATAGGCAGGTCTAGGAGATGAGGAGAATTCTGGGAGTTGCAGGCAGAGAGCAGTCACCATGGGATCCAGGGAAGAGAGGACACCAGTCAGGCAAGAATAGATAAGACCATTTATAAATACATAGATTAATAGTAATGGGTTAACAATTAAGACAGAGCTAGCCAATAAGAAGCCCTAGTCATCCACCAACAGATTTGTAACTAATATAGCATCTGTGGGACCAGGCTGGCGGGAAGAACCATCTGTAACACACAGCTACCAGTAACTCCAGTTCCAGGAGATCTTATGACCTTTTCTGGTTCCTCTGAGCACCAGGCATACATGTGGCATACACATACACGCATGCAGGCAAGACATTTACACATATAAATGAAAATAAATAAAACTTCAAAGGATTCTAAAAGTCAAAAATGCTGTTAAATGAATTTTAGCTTGGGATTAGCACACAATTTCAGATATGGATATGAACATAATTCTGCCGTTTGAACTGTGTGTTCTGTGTATTTATGCAAAGCAGTATTCTTAGCTTTGACTATTATAAAATCAAATATTGATCAATTCTGGGGCCAGCAAAATGGCTCAGCAGGCAAAAGCACTTGCCTTCACTCCTGGCAACCTGAGTTTGACTCCTGGAAGTCAACATGGTGGAAGGAAAGAACTCACTGCAGCCAGTTGCCATCTGACCTCCACAAGTATGTTTCTGTGGTACACCACACCACACACACACACACACACAATGGATAAATAAATAAGAATATTGATCAACTCTGGGAAAAGTTGAAGGTGGACTGTGTCCTGTAGTATCAAATATTCAGCCAACATTCAATTCTAAATGTAAAAGTAAATAAACACGCCTATCTCATTAGTAGGCTAGTTTGCCTTAGTTTTCAATGAATAGTAAAATTATATATCAAAGAATTATTTTTAAAAATAAGTTTATTTTTATTACTAAATGTTTGTGTAATATGTATGTATGTATGTATGTATGTATAATTTTGGGGTGAGGAGACAGCATCGTGAGTGATGGTCATGCAAGCATGAAGAACCCAAGCTCAAACTCCAGCACCCATGTAAAAACCCAGGAGTGGTGATATATGGTTGTCATTTTAGCCCTGGGCAGGCAGAAACAAAAGGGCTGATTGGGCAGCCAGTCTAGCTGGATAGGTCAGTTCCAGGGGAAAGCGGGATCCCTTGTCTCAAAATGCAAGGTAGAGAGGAGTGATGAAGGAAGAAGCTGGTGTTGAACTCTGGCCTCTACAGCATACACAGGTGCATACACACACACACGTACCACCGACAATTTTTAAATGTCTTGGGTAAAACAGGACTGTGAGTGTTATGGGGCCATTTTCAGTTGACAGGGGGGAATGTAGAGACAGGAGCCAGGTGTTTAAGCCCGGCTGTTACCTGAGCCTGCTGTCCACCTCGGCCTGGTTGAAGGGGATCAGACCCCACAGCTGCTCTGTCATGGACTCGTTGACCCACTGCACAGCTGTGGTCACTGCCAGCTGCCTTTTTGCCTCCTCGGCGTCCACCACCTCTGGCAAAGCATTCTCGGGGACTTCGAAGTGAGCAGGTATCACCACGGAACAGATATACTGACAACAACACAAACTCGTTTCACATTTTCTCTTCCTCTCCCGGGAGATAGGAAAGAGAATTAATCTAGCATTTAACATTAATGTTTTTTTTTTAATCACCAACTTCAAGGGGGAAAACAATACATTAACTTTTCTTGCTATATTTGCATACCTGTTGAAACATTGAGAAACTTGACTTCTTGAGACATTTCAAGTTACTCTCTTGTTAAAATACCGGCCTAAAATTCCCACATTGAACTCTTCCTAACACTACCTCTCCAAAAGATTGCTACAGATTTCATCTTAATTATTCTCCTCTCACGGGCTGTGGCAATTTATAAAAAGTAGGTGACATGAGTTAAACAGTTAAATCGTTTTGATTTTTAAATTTACTTTTGTTTTCTTGAGGCAGAATCAATGAAGGGACTCTAGCCAGGCGGAGCATCGTAAACATGGCTCGGGCAGGCCTTGCCTTTCTTTCCCATTCCCTCTGTCTTGCTAAAATCCGTTAGATCATATTCCTAAAGCTACCCTCCAAGGTCTATTCCCTTATTTGCCCATTTCCTCTTCCTGATGCTGACTACCAAGGAACCTATTGAAGTCCAGCAATCAGAAGCCCCCTTTGGCTCACCTAATTAACACGCCCAATTAAAACTAAACACCTCATCCTAACACAGGATTTCCCATTTTACCTTTTTAAACTGCCATTTGCCAATGAGCTATGCCCGTGTCCTCTCTATCCAGAGGAAGTCCTTTGTGCCACTCTGGGACAAATACCCCTTCCTACTCTCCCTTGTCCTCTGTCTCCAGTCTCCCTTTGTGCCGAGACCTTGGTCTTGGGGTGTCCTGAGCCGATACCTTACAGTCTCAAGTATCCCAGGATGGCCTTGAACTCACTGCTTGAAACAGAAGATAGTCTTGAACTACTGATCCCCCTGGCCTCCACCTGCTGAGAGCTGGAATTCCAGGGGTGCACTACATCCTGTAGGGGATGCTGTAGCCACGCATGCTCAGGGGCTGGCTACAGGTGTGCCTGCACTCCCCCCTTCTCCTTTTTGACCTTTAGATCCAGGATATCCTGATCTTTCAGCCTTTCCAGGTGCCCCTGGGTATCCTCGGTTTCCAGGGAAGCCAGCTGGCCCCATCACCTTTAAGGCCTGGAGGACCCATTGAACCTGGAACACCAGGTCGACCACTTTCTCCAGTAAGCCCACTGTCTCCCTTTTCACCTGGGCATCCAGGAGGCCCTTGAATTAAGGTGGTATTTTTCAGTGTCTGTGAGTGTTCCCAGTCCTTCAGCCTGAGGCCATTAGTGATGTTATGCAATACTTTCATTTCCTCTTTTATTTCCTGCTCCATGTGTCCTTGTTCTTCTTTCACAGACTGGGTTTCTGCTGAGAGTTTGCACACATGCTCCTCTAACTTACTGGTGTCCTTCCTGTTGGTTCACTGCAGACTCACTGACTTTGCAGCTCAGTGTTCCTGTAAGGAACTGGACCTCAGGCAGTGTGGTACTGAGGCTCGTCAAGGACTTGGGAGATCTCATCGAGTGTGTTCCCGTGCCCCTGGACTGGCGCAGTCAAGGATTGAACTGCAGTAGAACATCATTACGTCTCTGGTCGGTTGTCACACTGAAATTGTGGAAGTGTTCTGTATCTATGAGGTTGAAATGCTTTGGATTCTCTCCTCCGAGGGCATGGTCAGGCACACCTGTAGCCAGCCCCTAAGCAGGCGTGCCTACAGCATCCCCTACAACATCCAGCTATTAAAATTACTTAAATAAATTGTTTTCTTTACTTAAACCATTATTCTCCATATCTCAAACACATACATCCAAATGTAGGTTTATAGGTATAGTGATGTTGGAATATTAAAGGTATTTTCCTTTCCTTTCTCCCCCTGGGATTGTTTTCATGTTAACACATGGTTGTCTTTTATCAAAGCCACACTGAAACACAAAGCACACTGCACTGCTGGTTCTACGAGTCAAGCGTCTATGGGTACCCACGAATAAACGGCCTACGTACAGGTATCTGCTTCAGAAGTATTGGATTCTAAAACATTGTTTCTGTGATCCAGGCATTCTTGCTAATAAGTTCAGAGACATGGGTAGGATGCATTAAAGAACAAATTTGAATTGCCTCATACCTTGGGGAAATTTTGAATGGTGCAGGAGATTTCCACCTGTAGAGTAGGAAGTCCCAGTCCGTCCAGGATGGTTTTTCCCACTATTTTGCATATGGAGGGAGGCTTTGCAAGTTTAGAAAAGTAGTTTGCCTTTGACACACACACACATAAAATAAAAAAAAAATCAGAAAAATCACATTATCTTACAAGGCCATTCATTCTATCCTATCAAACTTCCTGGAGCTGGATTAGCCCCACACCTGCTGGAACAGCCCTTGCCGAGTCTCCAGCAAATGGGGCGGTGTGTTGTGGTCTGACTTCTTATCTTGAATGCAGAGACCCATCTTCACCCACAGGCCTGGGGTCCCTCTTTAGCAGGCCTTTTCGTGGCAAGCCAACTGACTCCCTGACACTTCTTCCCAAGTTTGGGAAGTCATTGGTCTCTACAACAACTGTGATGCATTGAGATTTAATAAATATGAAGGGGGGAATGACTTTATCCCACCCCCTCCCCGACTCCCGAGCAGGCATCTTGGCTTTTTAACCGTGAAGTTAAAAGACAGTCTCACCTACCATCAGCTACCTAAGTGCTACCTAAGAGGCCTCTTGGGACTCTTAGGAATTGCGCTTTCTCCTAAGTGGCAGAGCGAAAGTCACTTGTCAGGGATCCAAGATTGATGCGCCAGGGCTCAGCCCTCTGTGGGCAGTGTCATCCCTGGGTGGTGTAAGATCGCTGGCTGAGCAAGCCCTGGCTAGCAAACCACTAAGCAGCCTTTCTCCGTGGTTCCTGCTTCAGTTCCTACTCAGACTGGACTGTGGACTGTGACATGGAATGTAAGCCAAATAAAACCTTTCCTCTCTACAGTGCTTTTGGTCAGAATGTTGTAGAAAAGCACTTAGAAAGCAAACGAGAGCCACCCTTCACCAAGGAAAGGGAGACTCCTTAGAGACCAGTGCCTGGCTGTTAGCAGACTGGGCAGAGAGCAATGCACGTGGAAACAGAAGGGCAAGTTTCCAGCCTTGCACACTAAGTCCCTGCAGCACGGGGTTTGGTGTCCTTTCAAACAGAATATACAACATTAACAGTTCCTTTAGCAAGCGACCTTAGGAACTGAAATCCTTATCACAGCTTCACTCACCCACTCCACAAACGTCCCTAGGCATTACTGTTGCTCAGTGTCCCCTCCCCCCGGGGGGCGGGTCACTTAAATACCCGAGGCACAAGTTCTTTATTTAGAAAGGGGTGGGGTCGTTTATGTTGTGTTTGTCTTGTTTTAACCTTGCAGAGAGTTTCCGGAGACTTGAGATAACAAAGTGGTACCCTAACTCCCTTCCCCGAAGCTGGTCTCTGACTGATGCACAAGGCTCCCCTGGGATGTCAGTAGGAGGACGCGCCCCGGGAGAGTTCAAGGACGCCAAGTGGAAAGGGCCTCC